TTTTTTTTGTCATTTCCAGGACTCCACAGGCAGCTTCGTCCTCCCCTTCCGCCAGGTGCTTTACTCGCCGTACCCGACCACGCACATCGACGTCGACATCAACACAGTCAAGCAGATGCCTCCGTGCCACGAGCACACGTACAACCAGCGGCGCTACATGCGATCCGAGCTGAGCGCGCTGTGGAAGACCGACAGCGAGGAGGACATTCCTCCAGACACAGTCATTCACACGGATGAAACCTTCACACCTGACCTGTAAGCCATGCACACGCAGCAGGCTGTATTTCTATGTGACAAACATGGTTATAAATCAAAAATGCTAATATCATTCCCCGCTATGCCTTTTTTTTTTTTTTCCAGCAATGTATTCCAAGATGTCATGCATACAGACACTTTGGTCAAGTCCTTTATAGATGAGGTAAGAATATTATTCTTTATTGTTTCCATGAAATCCCAACAGAGTCAAAAGAGGAAAACCCCGTAATGTGTTGACAAAAATAGCAACATAAGAAATAAGACACATCCATTCTCATTATCTTCATTTAGAGGAAAAATACAAATAAATAGATGAATGAAAAATACGGAAAAAACAAACAAAACAAGATAAAGCGACGCTCCTAACGTCATAACTGAACCTTGAGCCGAATGAATCACCGGGCTGCAATATTATTCCAATTACTGCTGAAATAAATCAAGCATCTCTGGAGGCATGCGTCATCTGTGGTTTTGGCTCACGGTCAGTTGTCAGGTAGGCAAATGGAAATTGCTGAGAGTTCCTCTCTGACTGTTAGGTGGGAGGTTTGTAATAGGTTCCCACCTGGAATAATTGTGTGTTTTTTTAGAAACAGATTCCGTAAATAGAAACAAATGAGCGCAGAACAGTCACTTTAAATCAGTTTGAGTCACTATAGAATTGTTCAGGAATCTGTTTGTTTTTTTTCTGCACAAGCCTCAAAATTATATAAATAGAAGAGATCCAGTTGAATCCTGCCTGTAGGTTTGAAAGGATTTTTATCTTTTTTTAAAAAAAATGCAGAAATTACATCTTTTATCAGAGCCAGAACCTGTAAAACAATTAAAGTCACCACATTTTTTAAACTCCGGATGCTTCTTGAATGAATCATGTGTGACGCTTTGTTCTGTCAAGACAATCAAGCAAATTTAAGCTTAAAATTCTGATATTTAATGAAAATCACTTCAACAAATATGCCACCGATGCGCTCTTTGCGACAAACAGATGCTGTAAAAGTGAAATGCTGCAATTTTTGGCACATCTGATGAGTAATGATTGACTCAGCTGTGACCAATGCTCATGCGACACAACAATTCTGTGAATCTTCAGCTGAACTGCAGGCTGTGTTTACACAGAGCAAATAAGTGACAAGGAGGGAAACTAAGCAGAATCAAACATACTTGATTGACAAAATAAATACAACATGGCTCACACATGGTATACAGCAGAGCAGGTTGTCGGCAATTTGTTGGAAGACATATTCAACATGATAATCTGGTATCTTTCTAGAGTTTAAGTGCAGCATCGTGGAAACAGCATCTGGTTTGTAGAGATTAAAAACGTGAATAGTAAAGTATCTATAATATGTAGAAACCCGTTTTTCCCACTGTGTTTGTAACACCTGTGGACACTTGGTTGTACATGCTCTCAATTAAAAAAACAAAGAAATTCCATCCATCCATCATCTATACACCGCTTAATCCTCACTAGGGGGCTGGAGTCTATCCCAGCTGACTCAGGGTGAAGGCAGGAGACACCCTGGACAGGTCACCAGTCTATCACAGGGCTACACTTAGAGACAGATAATCAAGCACACTCACATTCACACCTACGGACAATTTAGAATCACCAATTAACCTCAACATGTTTTTGGACTGTGTGGGAGGAAGCTGGAGAACCTGGAGAGAACCCACACTGCACAGGGAGAACATGTAAACTCCACGCAGAAAGATCCGGGTGTCCTCACTGGGATGCGAACCAGTGACCTTCTTGCTGCGAGGCAAGGGTGCTAACCACCGCTCCACCTTGCAGCTCACAAAGAAATTCAGCTTTCCTTTTTTAATGATTTATGACATTATAACTGTGTTGTTCTGCCCAAAAGACATTTTTGAGTTTGTCTTTACTTCTAGCCATGCTTGTGCATGACTTTATATTGCAGTAGAAAATACCACAGTGAGTAAATATGCAATAGGGGCAAAAAAAACACCCAGAAACTGTTTGGGGTTCAGATGGTTACCTCTCAACAAGTTAGTTGATACTGCAGCACATTTACAGAGACGAGAACATGTTTTAAAAGAGGACTTGTCTTGCCTGTTCTGTTAGTCACCTGTGTTTATGTTGGTATGTATGTATGTATGTGTTTGATTTTTTCTTTTAAATACAGTCAGAACCTGCTTCTGAACACATCCGGCTACGCAACAAACTCTAGAACTCTGCCCTCCCACATGACAGATATAATCTCGAGAGCCAACACCTACAGAACAATAGAACTTCTAACCCGGTGGTCACAACCTACCACTTGTTCCCATGAAAGTTGTCCCAGAGTTGCACTTACAAGTGTCTTTCTCAAGGTTAACACAGAGAAGGGGGAGTGTTATTCCACCATTTCTCCAGCACAGCCGCCGCCCGGACTACTAATTGACATCCTGTGTCGTACCCAGGTGTTCATGCTGAAGCCGGGCCTGTCCCTGCGGAGCACCTATCTGGCCCAGTTCCTGCTGCTGCTCCACAGGAAGGCCCTCACGCTGCTCAAGTACATCGAGGACGAAACGTAAGAGCTTTTCACTAATACGACCGTAATCCAAATCACAAAAGGGATTAATTTGTGACAGCAGGCCACGACAGTCACAGAAAGAGTCAACAAAATCTAAATAGCAGAGCTGCTGATGCACTTGTTTTTCTTTCATTGTTTTTTTTTTTTTGTTGCTCTGACTTTGCACTGTGGCTGCTGACCTTTCTTTGATCGCAGCGTCACCGGCGGACCCCCTAAAGCGTTGTATTCAAAATAGTCATGCCAATGTTTTTTGCATCTGTTGATGTCGCCCCCGGGGTTTTGCTGTGCAGGGGCCAGAGTACGGCGAGCTCTGAGGGACAAATTACCAAACAGGGGGGTGATTTGGGGATTTGAGAAACATCTGGTTGTTCTCGGTTTGGACCCAGCTGAAACACAACTATGTAGATGGACAGTAGAGGAGAAGAGATGCAGGGTGAGCCGACTTCTAAACCAAAACAACATCGGAGGAGAAGCGTCCCTTTACTAGTGAAGTTAGATTGAGTTGCAGAGGAGTATAGACAAGTCGGATACAGCTGACTGGAGATGTAAGCAGACACTTAAATCAAGATGAAGAGCAGTATGTCAAGAAACACACAGAGTGGAACATAAGGTCAGGGGATCACGCAGGTTTGCTTCTTGAAGGAGAAATAGTGCACAGAACACAGGCGCTGTGCTGAGCTGGAGGGGGGGAAACTCTGATCATATGAGTCATTCTTCACATCGGTCTGAACAAGCAGACGAGTCTGACTGTTCCATTCTTTGAGAAATCTATAGAGCTGTTTTCTAAAGGCTGGTTTTGGAGGGCAGCAGACGCTTCCTAATATGCATTATGTTCACTCATGCTGCTCATAAGCTGAGAGTGCAAACGTTGCTGCAGTTGGCATTACTGATGACTGCACAAACTCATCTGCATATTGTTGGTGTAGCAGTAGCAACTGGTATACATCTTCTGCCTTACAGGGGATAATACATGCTGGTAAATAAAAAGGACTTTGCAAGATGACTTTTCCCTAACTTCTAAAACATGTTAAAGTCGTGACTATCTGTCCTATCTAGTAAGGCCCAGGATTATAGAATTATAGCATAGTTGGCAGGAAGCTTTCAGTTTTGTGTCGTACCATGTTGTCACTTGCAAAACTCATGAGCTGCTTTAGGTGATTTTGAACATTTTAAACACAGACAGAGGTGAATTAGAACTTTTTTTTATGCCTAGTTATAAAAAGGTTTGGCTCTAGCGAGGTATTTGAATGAATCTCCTTCGTTTTTGCCCTTCAAAAGGACACATCGTCACTTAATGTATATGTATGTGATAGAGAGCACAAAAGGTCTGTCCTTGAATTAAGCTCCAGCAAAATGGATTTACAAGTTAATAGTTTTACTGGAAAAAAAGGACTTAGGTTTGGGAACATTAACGCCGTTGGATATAATGTGTGAAACTGTGAAGTTGTGAAAAATAAGAATTAATAAACTACACGTTTATTAACACTGACAGTGTAACACCATTCACACTACTGCAGATAAATATTAAGGCTTTCCTAAACACTACCACATGATAAGAAAGTGGAAAAAAAAAAAACAGCAAGTGGAAAAAATATGATGTCATCTGCACACATAAACAGTACACAACAGACATGAGTACACCCCTGAGGGATATCACCAAAATCTTAAATGATTCACAAGTGCAGCAATTCTCAACAATTTGCACTGCCTCCAGGCTAAACAATAGATTATTTGATCTTGAATAAAGTAACAGTTCGAGGATGCATGTGGTCAATTTGTTGTTTTCCATTTTTTCTTCTTTAAAATCCCTGGCTGTGTGCTTTGGATCATTATCATGCTGCAATTTTCTGCCAAGCTTCTGTCATCTCAGCAGCCAGTATTTTAGCATATCCACACACATACATTGTACCATCTGTAACTGTCATCTCCCCAACACCTTTTGCACTCACGCAGCCTCATATCATCACATTCCCTCCTCTGTGCTTCACTGTCAGGACTGTGCATTCACTGTAGTAGTCCTGCCTGGGTTCATGCCAAGCATGCTGGACTCATCTGAGCCAAACAAATGTACAGTCATCCTCAAATCTATTCACACCCTCCCATTGAAGAAGGGAAAAAAAACAGCTGTCACTGAAATAAGCTGAAATTGACAAAAGTAATAATAAATAAAAATGAATGAAATGAATTGATTTTGAATTGTGGTTCAACAGAAATATTAAAAAACAAAACAAAACAAAGCAAACAAGCGTGATGGGACCCGCAAACTAATATTTTGTTGAACAACCCTTTGAGCCAATCACTGCAATCAAGTGTTTTCTGTAACTCTCAATCAGACTTTGACTTTTGATATTTAGATTTTGGCCCACTGCTCATCAGCAAAGTGCTCCTATTTGTCCAGGACAGTTTTTTTTTTTTTTTTGTAATTATTCTTTTCAACCACAATTCAAAAGCAATATCTTATTTCACTAAATTATAATTTAGCAAATTTTTATTTATTATTACTTTTTTCAGTTTCTAGTTATTTGAGTGACGAATTTTGCCTTTTCTTTAATGAATAGATTTGAGGACGAATGTTTGTTCGGTCTCATCTGACTGAAGTCTTTACTGTGGGGCCTGTATTTTCATTGCAGTCTTTCTAAAGTATTGATTTAGCTTGTTCATGAGACTAAATGCTAAAATCGTGAACTTAGAAATAATAGAGGGAGGTCATACAAGTTTGAATCATTTGACATTTCAGTGATGTTGCATCGGCGTGTACTTCTGTTGTGTACCACTTCTTAGTTTTTGCACTAGAGATGTGTGTGCAGAGCAAAAATGCTGAACACTTGCTTTTATTCAGCTTTTCACATGTTCAAATTGGCTGCTCTCTGTTTAGAACAATGCTTAAAAAAGATTGCTAATTAATCAAGAAGGAAAACAATTTCCCCTCGTATATTGTGCGTGATGATTGGAAGAAACTGGGAAGAAGGGGCTGGATGTGTGGCTGCACAGGGTGATGAATCTTCTGCATTATCACAGAATGACAGCTTCCCCATCTGCATCGCACAAGAATAATGTCTCGAGCGAAAAAAAATGATGCACAGCGCAAGTCCCAGCCTTTCCAGTGAACTTCTGAGAGGCTCTGGGGCGGCGGCAGAAATGACGTTTTCATCCCCATCATCATCAGAACACTAAATGATGTTTTTATGATTGCCATTTGATCACTGACAAGAAATCCTCATTTCTCCATCCCCCCCTCAGGCACAGAGATGAGACTATGCCAGGTTGCAAGGTGACCTAGTGGCTTATTCCTCCACGCTTTGCATTAATGCGCCTTCCTTTTAAGTCGTACATGTTAGAAACCAGTCCTGGAGCTTCACTCTCTACTCTATCTGTTGAATTAGCCTCCTCTGTGGGGAGCTTTTTCGGTTTCTTTACAGGAACACGACCAGACATTATTACAACTCGAGTCACGGTCCAGTCCCATCAGGGTTACAGTAACCACCTTCTGGCTTGGCTCCAGAAGCACCTACTTAAGCCCCTTTAATTCATGTGAGACGCTGCAGTCCACCACGTCTTCAGCCTCACTGAGTTTTTTTTTTCACCCTTCCTGTGGCGACCTGGTCGTCGCTCCATCTGGGCTTGACTCATCTCCTTCTGCGCTTCACAACAGAGCACCGACCTTCCCGCCTTGTCATTTCTACAAATCACGACTTTGATTTTTGTTTTTTTTTCTTTCTCCCCTCTCCTGTTCCAAATGAATTACTTTCAACGCCATTTGTTCCCATGTATAATATATGCCAGAACATATCTCACTCCAGAGACAACACTAACTACACAAGCAAAACCATTATTTGTGCGCCCGTGTGAAAGCATAAAGGCAGTCTTGTTTATGGCGCTGCCAACAGCCTGAGGTCTAAGGGCACGCTATTTTACAGGTGCCTTGACAAGATTGTTTATGCTCAGTTGCCGCCTTGGAGCAGCATACATAATTCATGGTGGCGTGGCGTTCCTGTGCACAGCTGCAACCCGACGAGATGCTAATGCAAGTCCTCTGACCCTGAGCTTTATAGGTTGTTAACAGTCGCGCTATAGTACAATATCTCCACGCCTCTCTCCGCAGGCAAAAAGGGAAGAAGCCATTTCGATCGTTGCGCAACCTGAAGAACGACCTGAATCTGACGATGGAGGGAGACCTGAACATCATCATGGCCTTCGCCGAGAAGCTGAGGGCGGGGCTTCACTCGTTCGTGTTCGGGAAGCCGTTCTACACCAGCATGCAGGAGCGAGACGTGCTCATGAGCTTTTGACTTTCGTCGCACTTTATGTATTTTTTTTTTTTAGGTTGTTGTTACATGAAAGCATGCGCGTTGATAAAAAGAATACCATCTGCCTGAGTATTTGCTCGTCTGAAATGAAAAGAACAATTTTTGCCTTCCTTTTTTTTTTGTGTGTGTCTTGATCAATACAGGGCACGGTTTCAAAGACTGATTGTTATAGCTGCTATGAGCCATTAAGGTTTTGATATATTGCCTTGATCAACTGTACGCTTCAGTCAGTGTAACGTTTTTAGAAGACTTATTTCTCTGCGGGTTGAGTTATCCACGTGTTCTTTGCCTTCTGTTAATAGAAGGTCTGTATTAATTTATGGTGTTAAAATTGGCTGAGATGCCCCCCAGGACATCTGGAATTTAATTTAAAATGATATTTATTAAATCATGAGTTATTAGTTTCTTCATTGCCTGTGTTATACAGCTGTCTCGGCTGGCTTTTGATCCTTCTGAACTTGATCGCCTTTTTTTTTTTTTTTTTTAATATATATATTCAGTTAATGAACTCGTGTGCTGAATGTGAATGCTGCAGCTCGGTTGACGTCTTACAAAACTTTGTGAGTAATCACAAAGCGCTGGGATTTCATTAAAGACAAAAGCACTGTAAATTTTTTTACCACAATCCTTCCTGACAAAGCAGATCTGTGGACGTATCTGACATCGAGTGCTGCCATTAAATGCGTTTGCCCAGTTGTGCATAAAATAGATTTCTCCCCCTCCCACAGCAACAGCACAGTTATTTGCTGTTCGGATTATTCGGCTTTACTGCAAAACATAAATTTGCGGCGGTCGTTAAGTCGAGCAATCTTGTTTGTGTGCCACTGTGATATGTCCGGAACATTTCTTCCACTTTGAGATCAGAGCGTGTTCAGTACAAACATCGTCTTTGCTTCGTTTCTTTCTACTGTACGGATCACCTTACATCAACAGGGACTTTTTGTGTAATTGAACCTCAAATTGTGCTGACAGGCCAATGAATAATAAACACTGTAATGACAAATCGCACATCTTTTACACTGTCTTTTTTTTTTTCTCATCTTGCTCCTTTCGACTTGATAAAAATGACGCACATTAATTAAAAGTAATCTGCATGAGAATGAGGAGGGACGCAGTTCACACTTTTAAATGTAAATGTCTGTCTCCTCAAAGCGCCAGCTCTGAAAGCTGAAGGCCCTCGATAAGAAAGACCCAATCACCTTGAGATATCCAGCTAAGCTCTGACTCATGAGGTGAACCAGCTGAGGTGTCTCCTGGAGTCACGAGTTGTAAAGAGGCCCAGAAGTTCAAAATTGTATTCATTAAATATAAATGTGAATTGAATATGTGTGATTTTATACAGACAAAAGCATGAAATTAAATAAAATCTCAGCTCAGTGAAATGACATTTTCTTGTGCTTCTTTTCACAATAAGAAAAACACCATTTACTGCAGTACCTTATCGATGTAGCTACAATATGTTCATTCATTTTGCTTTTTGAGATGATTATGTCAGAATGTCTTATTTCCCACAGATTCATATTTAAAGAGCAAAATTAGTCCAAAATGCAGGTACGCTCATATTGTGTGTAACTGTTGGATGGGATTTTCTCAGTAGTGACTTGCTATAATCAAGATTTTTTTTTTTCTTTTAGCCATGCCAGCCAGCAGAGTAAACTTTATGGATGAGGACAGCGGCTGCTATACTTTGAAACTAAATCTCAACAGTTTTAGGATGTGCCAGTGGCAAAAAACAGGCA